CATCGTTTTACGGCACCGTACACTCAGCCGTGTCAATCTATGTAGGTCAAAATATTTGACCACACACGATATCCGAACTGCATGGATATTCCCCGCCCACAACATGAAGTTCAATGAGTCTCATCAATCGAACAATATATATTGTACGTACCCCACGGTGCCGCGTTATCCGAACAGGATTTGAGAATGGTCTCAAATAACACAGCATATCCAATATACAGTGTCGACGATAGTCACTTCACGACAATCGGACGGAATCCGGCGTGTTTTGGGGAACATGTAAAAGAGAGCAGCTTTTTTGCACAGCTTCAAAGTAAATGAACGAACGTGTCTATTCTGTCCCCACACCCCGGACCCGACCCTATCAGCTATTTTTCGCGAAAACCCGGAAAAAAGCCGGGAAGGCTTTTTGAAGATTATCTCAACGGAAATAATCCTCCAAGAACGTCGAACTGCCTGCGTCGCGTGCTGCTTGACGTTCGCTCTCTTCGTTCGTTTCCTGCGAAGGCCGAGCAGGCTACGAGCCCTGGTATTCTCTGGTTCTCACAGTGGAAGATAACATACAAAGGGTAAGCTTCCTGAACAGGCGAATAAAGTAAAAACTTCCAAGAAAAGCCGGCGAACTCCGAATGCAAAATGCAGGTGGGGAGTCACGCTGACCGGGTTTCCACAGCTCAGGCGGGTGCTAGAAATTTCTGGCTGATAGGGGTCGCTCGATTCCCAAAATGGCGGCGGCCAGAGCGCTCTTTTTGCAAAGGTCTATATAACATAACGAGGAACTCTACTCTGACCCAAAGACACCAATACTCTGAAAGCTCCTCTTCCGGAGCTTGACACTCACCATACGCGGCTCACTTTTTAGAGCCCTGCCGGCCTAGCGAAAACACCACCATGTCTTTATCAACCTTAAAAATATTTTGCTACACACGATGACGTGGCGAATGCCCAAAACGCACTCGACGTCCACAAAACTTTTGCAGGGGCAGTAAGATCTTCCCGCCTTACAAAACTCGACACGTGCGTTTTCCTCCGCGAGTCAACGTCTACGTCACCCGGTATTTACGCTCCTGCCCCGACCGCTTCGCATTTGTAGACAAATAAATTAAGTTGAGTACGCTGACCATGCAGCGTCAGCGAGCAGGCGCACGGAAAATCCTGGAAGTTCCATCCCAATCTCTTCCGCCATCTTGGAACTACCGCCCCGCCATCTACATGGCGTTGGAGTTGCGAGTAGCGTCGCCCGCGCTCGTTGTGAGAACCTGCGAGACACGCTGGCGGCGACGCAAGCAAGCCGGCCCTGCGGGGATCCACTGATGTCGTTTGCGGAAAATTAAAAAAAAACAGTTTTTTTTTTTTCTCTCGAGATGGGTTTACCTTGTACCCGTAGAAACCGAAGGATCGTCTTCAGCGCTTTGAAAGGCAAAGATTGTAGCGTTTCCAAAGGTTCGAATCGGCCGAGAAATGCTTCGAGGCTATTCGGTGTCCCAACGAACGCGGGACGGCGCTTGTGGCTGACGCAGATCAAGCGCGACCAAATGGAAGCCGACCCGTACGTGGTGAGTATGCAGCGTGAGTAACAACTTTGTTGTCTGGCGAGTCACAGTCGGTGTCCTTCGCCATTCACTAGATGGTTATTCCAAATGAACGCTTCCTCGACGCGGCACTGCGATGAAACGCCGCTTACCTACACACGGCGTCAGCACTGTTGGGAAGTACCCGAAATACATTGCACTTAAAGTACCACTTTGAAGAGGTTTAGAAAACTTGTACTTTACTTAAAGTACTTTCTCCGAGTACGCAGTTTTACTTTACTTCGAGTATTTTTTTCGGGCACTTTCCGAGGAAATGACAACCTCTGACTTCAAGGTGCATTCCCCAAATTTGGTCTCGCTAAATTTGTACCCAAAATGAGCCTTTGTAAACTTTGAAGAAATTCTGGAAGGGATATTCCACTCTCACCAGAAACGCGAGGCCAAATTTGTAGGGGGGCGAGGGTGACTTCTCTACACAATTTTGAACTCTTGCTAGTTCTCGCTCGGTTAGCGCGAACCAGGAAGTTAAAAAAAAATATTCGGAGGGGAGGGTCCTCCGCGAGCTTGAGAAAGCTACGGAGCTGACGTCCCAATAGGAGGTATTCACTGGACGCCATATTTGAGGGCGATGTTTAGAGCGCATGCTCAGAACGAGCTCACATTAATAGCCTGCTAAGACCGGCAACCTTGATGGTGCTAAATGCACGCTCCAAAAGGACTGCGGAAGCTCGCCGTCAGCACGCGCTCAGCAGCAGCGCACACAGATATGGCCGCCAATGAATACTCCCTATAAAGACCTTTCGCTAAATTACCCAAGCATCAAAGAGAATGGTGGGAACGTAAGTACACGCGCTGCACGTGCTCGTCCTCTTTATAGGGAGCATTCACTGGCGGCCATAGATGTCTGCGCGACTGCTGAGCGCGTGCTGATGGTGAGCTTCCACAGTTCTTTTGCAACGTGCATTTCACCCCATCAAGATTGCCGGTCTTAGCAGGCTTTTAATATGAGCTCGTTCTGAGCATGCGCTCTAAACTGCACTCACAAATATAGCGTCCAGTGAATACTCCCTATAGGGAGTATTCACTGTCGCCCATAGCTGTGTGCGCGAATGCTGAGCGCGTGCAGATGGCGAGCTTCCACTGTTGTCTTGCAACGTGCATTCCGCACCATCAAGAGTGGCGGTCTTGGTGGTGCGAGAAACAAGACACAAGTGTTAGGAAAGCCATTATTGTTGCCGCAACTCACGCTCTTGTGACCTTGAGCAACATCCGACTCTAAAACATTGTAATCAGACATCTTGCTTCGTTTCGAAGATGTCGACCGTCGCCGCACTAAACACATTCTCAACCCACCCTTTCCAAATAGGTGCTGCCACCTGGACGCGTGACTGAGTGGCTACAAAACAACGCGTTTGCAAGGCCTCCCCTACCCGCTCGACACCCAAAACGGCAGCTAAATCCTGTTGGCCCATCGAGACGCTGTGTCGTAAGTATGGGTCCACCAAACTTCGGGTGTCTTCCCGTGTAGATTATCTTGACCCCTGAAGTTGTTACAAGGAAGTCATCTCTCTATCTCCCGGCCAGAAGGACGCAAAGACAGGGTGACGAAAAGAAAAGGCGAGCACAGATCCGCTGCACTAGTGCACTTCGACGTTTTCTTTTTTTGTATTTTTGTTTTGTTGGAAGGAAACATTTTGGAACTCGAAAGTTCGCCTAATATTGTTTGCACGGCGAGTCCGGGTCTTTGTATCAGTGTGCTTTCCACTTCGTTGTGGGTGAGCAAGCTGACAAGTGGCAGTTTGAAAACAACAAAACAAAAACTTTTTTTTTCTAGTTGAGGTTTAGGTGGTTTGAAGAACGGCTTTGGACATCTAAGGAATGCCAGGCCTTGTGTTGAGTAAAGGCACGTGACAGTGTGATTCCGGTAAAGCTCATTCTTAGAGAAAAAAAAAAGAAACTTACGAATATTTTTTTAATATTTAAGATTAGGAAGAACTTTCTAAAATGCTCAATCACTAGGTCGACTAGATCCTTCGTCCAAGGCGTCACATCAATTCACACTTTTTCTTTTTTGAGCGCCGATGATTTGTCATGTATGCTTGCTGTGTGCTAGGTTATCGTGCTTCTTTTTTTTTTTTTTGTGCGTCTGTCTATGCCCACCCCTGCCTTGGCTGCCAACAGGCGGCTGGCAGTATGTCCAAATAATAAATAAATCTTCCCTCTTCTTCTCTCCTCCTCCCCCTTTCCAAAATCTGACCCATAAATCCGTCGCTGATTGCGAGGGGATGCTTATACATTTTCATAAAGTTACAAACATTTGACGCCAAACGGGATGCCGATTCGTTTGCACGCAACTGGTACCGGGTTGAAAGTAAAGTAATTCTGCGATTTTATACTTTTTTTTTTTTCATTTTTGGCTGCCATAAAAAATGTAAAGCACGAATACTCGTTCGTACGTTAAAATGATCCCACTTTATTTCAGCGGATAACGGACACACCGCAAATATTTCCGTCTTCCAGAGATAAGCCGTAATGCTACGATAAGAAGAATACGATAGTCAGATGGAATATGACGTAGAAATGTATACGTCATAATCCTCCTCTTTCAGCAAAGCTACTAATACCTCCTCTCTATATATCAGCGGATCTCGATCACCCACACAAGATAGGCATTCCATCGTGTAAAACGACAACTTTTCACGGTTCATTCATACCCCGAACTACGCTCTCATGACACAGCTTTCAACCGTATACCGTTACCTTACCCGATGGCGTCGCCTTTAAGTGCCTTATAACAATGTCAATAATTCAGTATGTTTTTTTACACCAAATTATTTGTATCCTTCTAATTTGCTGACGTTTTTTTGTCCGTATATATGTAACCAATGCCTCGTGTCACTGGGGTGTTTGAATCAAATAAATAAGCACATAAAGAAAATGCATGGAAATTATACCCTGCGAACATGTCCAAGCCTGCTGCGACATTTTAAGGTGTATGTTTTCGATCGAGCTGAGCTAACTCGAACAGCATGCGCAAAGGCATCCACTTGGAAAAGTTCGGGAATTCACCTAGAAGGAATGACGAGAATTCCGCAGGATAACGAGCCCGCATTCTCGATAAAGAATGGAATGAACTAAAAATAAAGCTAAGGGAAGGCTAGCATCGACCGGGGGAGAAAAACCAGCCAGCCGCCAAGGTAAAATCTACAACGGAACTTGGCGATAAGATTCCAGCGTGGGTGGACTACAGAGTAGACCGGTTTCGCGTTCCATCACGACTTTTTAACTTTCACAAAACGCGAGACAGACTCGAGCACCGCGCGAACATCAATCGAAGACAGAAATAGAAGGGTTAAAAGTCCCGTGGGTAGACTGCAGCACTCTTATGCCGGAACCGGCGGTTATTAGCACACCGGTTAAATCAACGTCGGCGCCGGTCGAGACACGTGTTTTCATCTGCCAGCTTACCCAAGATCACAGATCGGCCGAAGCTGACGGCTGATGCCGTCCGACTAGTTCGTTGCTTCATCCAGGAATCCATGGTTCCTCCGGGACCAGTCGGTGCCGTCCTCAAGACCGCGTCGACACCTCACGATGGCCGTACACCACGCTGCGACACCGGCACGACGACGACACGATCCCACGGGCACAGGCAGGTGGTGGCGGCACCCCACCGACTACCACGCTGACACGCCGAGACATGAATGAGAGCCACTTCCCGTAGTCCCCGCTCGGGCCGGTGCGTGTGTGCGCGAAAAGAGCAGACGACAAGGCCGCGAGCAAAAGAAAGCACACGCGGAGCCGAAGTCGTAGCCGAATCCGGGAGACCGAAACCGGCCGCGCGCACGAGGAGCAGACGACGACAGCCGGCGTCGACCGCGTCGAGGAGCGGTATGGCGCGGCGGCGCGGCCTTTTTCCTAAACTAGGTTGCCCCCTCTTTAGGGGAGCGGGGGAAAGGGGGAAGCCCCGCCCTCGGACCTGCCTCTCCTCCGAACAGGGGGAAAGGAAAAGCCGTCAAAGAAGCCGCATCTTCGTCTCGGGGTCAGCCCGAGTGACGCGCCAAAAAAGAAGCAGACGAAACAAATCGTATTACGTGCGTCTGCTACTAGATCGGGGCGCGCCGCCTTTTCGAACTCGTTTATTTCGTCGGGTTTTTTTGTTTTCGTTTTTTTCTCTCCGGCGGCCGCTCCGCTGGCGTGGGAGTGTTGCTACCTTCGAACTCGTATTTTCCTTCGCGCTTTGGGCATGTTTGTTTCTTCGCTCGGAAACCGCTTTCGGTAGGCGACGGGGTGGAGCGTCCAATTTGGCCTCGAGGGCTGGCAGCGGCGCTCGATCCGAAGTCGAGCGCGTACATCTACCGGGTGAAAGTTGCTCGCGGGGGAGTCCGTTCCTTTTGAACTCGGTGCGGCGCCGCCTTGTCGTGTTTGGGGAACGGGATCAGTCAAAGGGCCACTCCTGTTGTCTCGCGCAGGGCAGACAGACGAACGCGCTGGCGATCGGAATTCGCTCACGACAAGCTACGGAGCTCGTAATGGGCCCTTTTCGAATGTGCGCGCCATCTAGGAGCTGCTATGCCAATATCCAAGCCCGCCATAGTTTGATATCGTGCTCTATGTACTGGGCATTCGGCCTAAACCCGGTTCAGCTCCTATCGAGGCTACACGGCGTTTCGGTGTCGGACGTTTCAGTGCGGTTTTCTCCATGCACGGGCGTTTCGCAGTCAGCGCACCGAAAAGTTCGTACACCGAAAAGTTCTCGACGGAAAGAGTCCTACACACCGAAGTGTCCTCCGTATGGAGAACGAGTGTTTCGTCAGCGTTTGGCGAAGACTCGGATTCAATCAGACGCTTGGTGCCCAAGATTGTAACCGGCGGTGTTGTTTGGCGGTGTTTTGAAAAGGGGTTCGAGTTCAACCAGGTTCGACATGTTCGAGCACTTAAAGGGACATTACCTACCCTCCCCCCCCCCCCCCCCCCCCAACCCCACACACACACATTTTTTTTTTACAGGCGATTTATTATGGTGTCAGAAGACTATTTAATCAATATTCTGCTACAGCGTCGAGTACAATTTTAATAAAGTCAAAAATGTATCTGCTCGAAAGCGAAACCGACTCTGGACTGGGGAGGAAGAAGTAATGTAGAGAAGGAGAAATTGAATGTGGCGATGGAGGCGAGTTGGTTCATGATTACAACTGGTAACAGTTGTAACCATTTCAGCGCTCGTCTTGTGCATTCCCTCCTTTGTTCTTGTTATTTTTTTTTCTTTGCGCGCTGCTACCAGTTGTGAGAAGAAATTTGCCGGAATTCACGTAACAACCGCACAGCGTCTTTTTTTTTTTTTTTTAACGATCAAGGCACGATGGCGCAAGTCGGCTAGTGTAAGTTTAACGGCGACGCACACATCGCCGTTGCCCGAAAAACTCAAAGAGCTTGAAGAACGTTTGCTCGTTTTTCAAGCCCTTTCCAATTCGTATCCGTAAGGCGAGCAACGTCTTCAGCCTGGAGAAGGGGCGGCGACTCGGTGTCGTCGTCGTGCGAATCAGCTTGGTGGTCAAGCGTGTCGTACCCAATAAATCCCAATAGTTTTTCTCGGTGAACGATTTCTCTTTCGAAGCTGGACAGATTCGCCAGTACCGCGAACGACAGTTCTGACGTAGAGGTATCGCGTAGTCCGCTTCGTGGAGCCCTCCAGCCCGCAACTCCGGCGATACGCCGCCATGTTGAGAATTACGCAGATAATGCAGAGTGCTCCCAATTCCCTGCGCAACATTTTTTTTTTTGACGAACGTATTTACAATTTTATGGAAGCCACAAAATATTGGGCACGTATTTTTTTTTCTATTTTTAATGTTGAGTATGTGCCTTCGACGACCCCCGACTTTGATTATCTTTGGTAGTTGTGTCAAAACCATAAAAAACGGCCTGTGAGCACGGAGAAGGGAGTAAGCGCGACTCAAACCAGCCATGTTCTCGATCGGCTATGTTCGGGCGGCTATAAAGCGAATTTTGAGTCAGAAAATTGTGTTCTGGGCAGTTGGGCTCTCATCTGTCATGCATAAATAAAAACCTTGGCGAGCTTAAATACCCTGTCAGTGTGCTTTTAACGCTCGACAAAACCTCGACCGAAATTCGGCTACTATTCGTAAGCACGGAAATTGAAAACGAGCTGACGCCGCCTAGCGGAGGAGGGGGCAAAATGTGTATATCATTTCGCAATGACATAATGCGATCAATTAACAGAACTCCCTGCTTTCGAAACAAAGGCCGTAAACTTGCTCATTGTCTCCTTTACAAACAATGATATGTATGCAAATGTTCCTTTTTTCAACCTTGTATTACCGGGGACCTAACTAAGAGGCTCGAGCACCTATTCCAAAGGTGCGGCTAATATTTCCCGTGACAACATTGCGGTCCCCCAAAACCGGTACTTATCATTTCCCCAACGATGGCGAAGTCTTCGGATTGTTCGGCGGCGTTGAATCGGCGTGATTCGATTGCTCGCTTTGTTTTTTCCTCTTGGGCTCGTAAAGGTACGCCCAACCCTCTTCGAGTATTCTCAGGCGATCAAAGAAGTCGTCAGGGTCGGCTTGGCGAGGCTGCAACATTTTCTGCCGCAGACTCCCGGAGGCGCTTTCTTTGCATGGGCGTGAGAAGTCGCCGAACTTAGCAGACCTTCATCTAAGTGCAAGTCATTATGATTTGTGAGAGAAGTCTTTTGAATGTAATGAAAAAGAGGGTAGTGAGCTTGTCCCGTAGTGACACTTTCGGCGATATGGTGTATTTGTTTTGCCGCCATGAACGCGAATTTTACATACACCCTTCGTAAAGTGAAAGCGTGTGGTAAGAGGGCCCAGCTCTTGCTCACGTTGGTTTCTGTAAGATGACGTGAAAATGCGGCAGCCAACACCATCGGAGCGGTTGCCTGCGTTTGGTCCCTTTGAGCGACGCCGCCCGCCAAGCTGCTATACTGAAGCGACGTCTTTGACGCAGGGTGGGGAAAAAAAAAAAAAAAAAAAAAATCAGTATTTATTTTAAAAAAAAAAGTTAAGTAATTCAGATTTATTTAAATTATATTAGAAAACATTTTATTTAGATCAAATTTGTGCGATTTAGATAAGATTTTTTTTTCTCATTTAATTCACTCTGGCTAGAACATAGTATAGTGCCATTATCATTTTATTGTTGGAGTCTCCGCCTACTAGAACAAAAACAGCGTGATTTGTCTTTGTAATTTATGAATATTTATTTGTTTTTGTTTTGAGTTATGACTCGTTGAAGTAGGACTTTATTTTTCTGTAGTGTTTGTTTCTTTTTTCATCTGATATTGTAGCAGTAGGACGTCACGTCGCTGAAGAATGAAGTGGAAGTAGAAATCAAGCTGAACAATCCGATTTGCTCAGGAGAGGACTTCTTTTAGCTCATGTTCAGTTTGATAGAGCCGCCAATGCCGACCTTCTCTACTCTTACTGAAGCGGGCGTTGAGGAGACTCCACAAAGGCCTACCCTGGAGAGAAGGACACAGTAGCGTCTTAAGTGGCAATAACCCGTCCTGCTGTTGCAATGATGAGGTAAAGCGAACGGAATAAGAGGAGCCAAACGCAGTAGGTTGGTTATGGCGGCGCCCATGCATGCACGGCTGCCTGAAAGCGTCTATAAATCTTACTCGCTCGATCATTTTTTTTTTGTAAATTCAAATACCAAACAATTGCACAGAAAAAGACATAGAGCAATAAAGAAAGGGTAAATAAAAAAAAATGTTTGCAGTACTATTCTTTGGGGAAAGGTTGTATTTAAATCGTCGTAGTAAAGCTCGTCAAAATAAAATCGTGATTTACATCATGATATAAATCACTATTTAAATCATATTGATTTTTATTCTCCATCCCGATGAGCCGTGCGAAGCAAACAGCGATGACTTGTGTTTCCACCGTGCATATACCTCTTAAATGATCATAGATGTGGTCTCAAACTTATTTGAGCGTGGGGGCAAATAGCCGACACTGGCAAGGCGGGGGCCAACGCTAGACGGGGGTTCGAAAGATTTAAAAGAGAAGAGACCTTGAGCTCTATGCCTTTTGTAAACTCCGTTTTACCAGTGCCATTTTTACATCTGATTTCTTGATATGGCTATTTTGGGCCCTGACCTGACGTGATAACAAGAATTAAAATGACACCGCCCCGCCAACGTGCTCGCATTTTTGAGAGAACAAAATAGCAAGTACACTGGCGTTCTCGTTGCTCAATTCATCCAGGAATTAAACAAGCTCCATATGTCTTCTCTAAAAACAATAATTTCATTTGGCCGTTCTTGTTTTCCCGACGATTTCTATTACAACACCCATTCTTTTCTTTAAATGGCGATATAGCTTTTTTAGGCGAGAATCCCGAACTCCTAGCTTTATCTTCGGCAGTTGCTCCTGCTGATCGAGAGTTCGCACAGCCGAGATGCATCCTTCCACAAAAAGTTCGCACTTGGAGCCTAATAGCGGAATTGTTGTACATTACAAAAAGCTGGGAAGCAAAAGATAAAGCGAAGGGTAAACGAGCCCAGGTAATTAAAAACTATATGAATCCTTTAAAACAGCGGAGCAAGTTTTTGAGAAAATGAACCGACGAGATGAGATCACGATGGCGCACGCCATTTCTAGCGCTGGAGACATGGGAACCGGGACTCGTAGCCAATTGGCCTGCGGGCCGCATGCGGCCCGCGGGTCGTGTGTTTGGCACTCCTGATCTATACAGTATACTGTATCCGCGAAGATTTCCAGTACTAGTGTGCTTGGTCGGATATAACAAATGCCACACCTGCTAAAAAAAAAAAAAAATTAGGTCGTTGGTTTTGTAGAAAGTTACGCGGGACGTGGTAGTTTCAGTTGTTCTTCCGAAAGCATG